AAAAAAAAAAAAATTAAAAAATGAAGGGGGGCTAGGTAGAAGTTGTTGGGGACAAACACCTACTCTAAACTTACTGTAAGTTGTAATCAGCACTGAAGGCTAAAGGGTGTCGCTAACACCATGCCAATGGTTGATCCCCTGTGAGACCCCATCCTTGGGGCAGAAAAAGAACCCATGCACATGTTCTCACTACTACAGTAACTTACCCTCGGGGAGGTCCCTGACAATTGCCAGTGTCCATCTCCTAGTCTAAGGCCACTGAGAAGGACCAGTTCCTGTGGGTGGCCCTGATGCAGGTTGCTGGCTCCTCGGACAATTACCAACTAGAGATAGTTGAAAACCTACTTGCTGGGCATTATTATTATTATTGTTGTTGTTATATGTCATTCCTTCTATTTTATTCTGCATATCGAGGGATGCATTTTTATTTACTAGTGTATTATAATCATTGACAGGAAATTTGAAAGATAAAGGAAGGGTATAGTTCAGTGACCAAACTTATTATTATTGCTTATTATTAGCATGTGTGTGAGGTCCTGGGTTCAAACCTCCCCAACACACATACACACAGAAAGAAACTAGAGAAAAGCTACTCACTCGTTTATTCCCTGGCCAGGTTTGCTTCCAGTCTTTTCTCCCAGGTCACTCTGTTTGGCAATGCTGTTTGCTCAGGCTCAGGGGAAGATGCTGGGTAGAAGGAGGTAGGGAAGGGTACTGTGGACCTCAGCATTCGCTGGGAGACTGTCCTGCACAGAGGCCGAAGGACACAGGGTCAGCTAGGCCCGTAGTCCTGGGCAGGAAGGGGCAGCGGGACCGTCTCCACTCCTGACAAACTCTGCTCCTTGCCCAGCTGTCGGAGTGGTGGCTGAAGACGGCCTATCTCCAGTACCGCCAGCCCGTGGTCATCTGCTCCAGCCCAGGAGTGATGCTGCCCAAGCAGGACTTCGTGGATCTGCAGGGGCAGCTCCGGTGAGTGTCTGAGACTAGCCCAAGGCGGGGCGGGGCCAGTGGTCAGGGCCCTGTGCGTTGCCAGAGCCCTCCGGTCTGTTCCCTAGGAAACTGGGAAGGCCTCACCCCTGTGCTTTTCCCACCACAGCCTCGTCTTACAGACGGGGAAACTGAAGCTCAGAACGGTGAGGGCACCTTCTCCCTGGCCACAGCTCAAGTTAAGAGGCCAGGTTTCCAGTGCCGAGGCTTTGGAACCATTCACCCTCCAACCTTGCCATGAGTCCCTCCCACTTTTCTTAGCTAGCCACACAGTGACCTTTATACACAGTCCCCTTTTCCACATTCAGCCATGTCACCTGCCCTGGCCCCTGTTCCAGTCCTATCAGAGATAAAAATACTAGCAGCAGGGATCTCCAGGAGCCTGCCACTCACTACTGCCACCAGCTTCTCTTAAAGAGACCAGGGCAAGAATACAGAGAAGCCAGGAGGGGGAGCAAGAGAGAAGTGTGGCTCAGTGGTTGGTTGATGGCCTGGCACGCATCAGATCCTGAGCTCCATCTCGCAATGCACACACAATGATAAAGGGACCAGTGCCTTCTGGTTATAAGTGGGACTCAGCCGGGAACTCCAGCCAGCCCATACTGGGACCAGAGGTGGCCTCAGGCACTGGGGAATAGTTGGTGTGAGCCAGGAAACCCCTCTTCCTAGCCCAGATAATCAAGGAGGCAGAACGGGTTGACAGCAGTGTCTGGGAACTTAGGCTCAGAAGAGAAAGGTGCTCAGCAGCAGGAGACTTGGACCCTGGAGGGACCCTACCCATCTCACCGAGGGAACAAATCTCCACATAGAGACCCTTCAGACCGTGGTTCAGGCCTTGGTGGGTGTCAGTCACCGCTGGCCTTTTATCCAGCCATAGTGTGCCGCTGCTGAGCAGCGCCGGGGTCCTTCCAGGTCCTCTCCTGCCAGCGCTTCTCGGGGGCAGGTGCAGCCCTCCCACTGGAAGTGAAGAAGAGAAGCTCAGAAGGGCCTCCCACTGCTGTGGGTCCACCTTGAACTCCTCAGGCCTCAGTACACTGAGTGGGGAGCACTGATTCCATAGGAGCTACCCTTGACTCATCCCCCTACTCAGCACGCATCCCTGTCCTGGCGTCCTCCACTGGTTGGCCACAGTTTCACATCTCTGCTTCATCCTCTAGGTTCGCTGCCAAACTCATCGAGGGTGTGCTGGATTTCAAGTCCATGATTGACAAGTGAGCAGCCCCACTCCCACCCTGACGGCCTTGCCCACACCTGCCTAATGCCAAAGCCGCCCAGTGTGTCGGCCTGGGCACTGAGCAGGCCCACGTCATTTTCATTTCCTATTGGCCCAGCCTTGGAAAGGGTTGAGGACAGTCATCATTGAGAGGGGGGACACTTAAGTCTTCTGCTCCAGCTCCTAGGGCTCTCCTGGTGACCTTGTCATTCCAGCCAAAATGGATCACAGTTGCCTGTGGCAACCTGAAGCTCAGAAAGGGAGAGGGAGGGAGTCTGTGGGAGACTCATCAACAGGGCCCCAATACTTAGAAAGTACAGGCCTCAAGACCTCCTTACAACCCCAACGGCTCTGCTCATGCTAAAGAGAAGGCCCCTCACCCAGTTCCAAGGAGAGCTTGCAGGTGTCTGTCTACCCCAGCCTCTTCCCTATCACTTGCCCAGCAGCCCCTCCCTGTGTCCTCCCACAGCGAGACCCTGCCGGTCGAGTTCCTGGGGGGAAAGCCGCTGTGCATGAACCAGTACTATCAGATCCTGTCCTCTTGCCGTGTGCCGGGCCTTAAGCAGGACTCCGTGGTGAATTTCTTAAAGACAAAGAAGCCGCCCATGCACATAACCGTGGTGCACAACTACCAGGTGAGCGCCACTGCCTGCTCTGCCCGTCCCCCCCCCCCCAGTGAACCTCCAGCCCCTCCACTGGCCCTGAGCTGCACTGGTTGTGACCGCCACAGCCAAGGCCAGCGGGGGCTGGTGGGTACTCTCGGTCTGAGGTCACCCAGCCCCCCTCTTCTGTGTCTGGGCCTCTCTCAGTTCTTCGAGCTGGATGTGTACCACAGCGACGGGACGCCCTTCACCTCGGATCAGATCTTCGTGCAACTGGAGAAAATCTGGAACTCGTCACTGCAAACTAACAAAGAGCCCGTTGGCATCCTTACCTCCAACCACCGCAACACCTGGGCCAAGGCCTACAACACCCTCATCAAAGGTGCCTCCAGGGCAAGGGCTCCCTTACACACCAGACAGATCCAACATGAGCCTTGGCAGCCACTGTTTCATTGACCCTCTCAATTTGGAGCAGGTGTTACTGGCCCATTTTAGAGATGAGAATACCAAGGCTCAGGTTGGTGAGGGTAGCTTCTTCCTATGAAGTAGCAAGTTGGATTCAGACAAGTGTTCTGGCTGAAGGGCCCTTCTCCATACTCTCTCTGCTCCCAGAACCACTCCCATCAAATCCCATACTGGCCATGGACACTGTCAGAGATTGCTGGTATTAGATCCTTGACTGTCACACCAGCTGTCCATGGGACCCTGGGCTTCTGTTTTTCTGTGTCTGTAGTGTGCCAGGTATTGGGCCCTGCCCTTTGAAGTATGGGGGGATACCTGTAGAGCTTTGTTGAGAGCAAAGCTCTGAGCATACATCTGAACTCCAAGCATGGCCCCAAAGGTGGTCAGAGGGGTAGGAGGCAGAAGAGCTCAGGGCAGGAGGCAGCAGGCTCTGAGGCTCCTTCTGTCTGCCCCAACCCCACAGACAAAGTAAACCGGGAGTCGGTGAGCTCCATCCAGAAGAGCATCTTCACCGTGTGCCTGGACAAGCCAGTGCCCAGAGTCTCAGACGATGTCTACCGCAGCCACGTCGCCGGCCAGATGCTCCATGGCGGTGGCAGCAAGCTCAACAGTGGCAACCGCTGGTTCGACAAGACGCTGCAGGCAAGTGTGGACTGGAGGGCCACGGCCCGAAGCTTGGTCACTCAGGCCCTAGACTTTCCTCCCTCCTTCGGCCCAGCCTCCTGCTTGTAAAGGAGGCTGGACGCTGCTGTAATTACCAGGCAACCAGCCTGTCATTACCAGGCCTGCATGCCACTGACACCCCCAGCATAACCCTTGAGCGTGTCAGAGCCAGTCTGGGTCAGTCAGAGTGGTGCAGTCTGGGTGTGACTTCTGCTGTGCTCATAACACAGGGACAACAGAATGACTGGCGGGGCGGGGCGGGGCTTCTGAGGACCTGCTTCCTAATACGCTGAGTGGGTCAGCACGGGGACTGGTGATGGCTTCAGGGACCCTCCCTGTGACAGCCACCCTCCAGGAGCTAGGGCTCATAGGACGGGTCCTCTCTCACCCACAGTTCATTGTGGCAGAAGATGGATCCTGTGGGCTAGTCTATGAGCATGCAGCAGCAGAAGGGCCCCCCATTGTCGCTCTTGTGGACCATGTCATGGAGTATACGTGAGTATGGTTTCAGCTTCATTCCCCAGTTCCTGGTGGCAGGTGGTATGCTGGTGACAGACCTAGCCTACGAGGTATATCACTCTCATTTGCAACAGAGTCAAGTCAAGGCAGTCTGTCTGTCCATCTCTGTCTTTTAGAAGATTTTTTTAAAATATAATCTATGTATTTGTATTTTATGTACATTGGTGTTTTATATGCATGTATGTCTGTGTGAGAGCATCAGATCCCCTAGAACAGAAGTTACAGACAGTTGTGAGCTGCCATATGGGTACTGGGAATTGAACCTGGGTCCTCTGGAAGAGTAGCCAGTGCTCTTAACCACTGAGCCATCTCTCCAGCCCCCCCCCCCCTTTTTTTTGTTTTTTGATAGGGTTTCTCAAGTCAGGCCGTGGTGGCGCACGCCTTTAATTCCAGCACTTGGGAAGCAGAACAGGCTGATCTCTGTGAGTTCGAGGCCAGCCTGGTCTACAGAGCGAGATCCAGGACAAGCACTAAAACTACACAGAGAAACCCTGTTTCTGGGGAAAAAAAAAAAAAAAAAAAAAGATAGGATTTCTCTGTGTAGCCCTGGCCATTCTGGAACTTGCTCTGTAAACCAGGCTGGTCTCAAACTCAGAGATCTACCTGCCTCTGCTTCCAGAGTGCTAGGATTGAAGGTGTGCATCACCACCACCCATTTTAGAATATTTTTTTAAGGTTTGTTTATATATTTTATATATATGGGTGCTTTGTCTGCATGTATGCCCGCACACCAAAAAGGGACATTGGATCCTATTATAGATGGTTGTGAGACACCAGGTGATTGCTGGGAATTGAACTCAGAACCTCTAGAAGAGCAGAGCACGCCAGGTGTGGTGGTGCACACCTTTAATCCCAGCACCTGGGAGGCAGAGGCAGGTGGATCTCTGTGAGTTTGAGACCAGCCTGGTCTACAGAGCAAGTTCCAGGACAGCCAGGGCTATGCAGAGAAACCCTGTTCAAACAGGGTCTTCCTATAGCATGGTTGTCCTGGAACTCGCTATGATCCAGGCTGGCCTCAAACTCACAGAGATCCACCTGCCTCTGCCTTCTGAGCTGGGACACTAGGTATGCCAGCACACCTGGCTTCCATCTGGCATCTTGAAAGCTAGAGTGAAATCAGTTTTCACAAGAGCTAACCTATGATCTGTGAACCTCCTACCCCCTAGCTTCAGGAACTCATCTTCTCCACATCAATCCCAGGGACAGTCGGGCTTCAGTGACACCAGCATGAGCCTGAATCCCCCTCTCCCATGCAGGAAAAAGCCTGACCTTGTGCGGTCTCCTATGGTGCCCTTGCCCATGCCCAAGAAGCTGCGGTTCAACATAACCCCTGAGGTCAAGAATGACATCGAGAAAGCCAAGCAGAACATCAGCATGTGAGTGCACGCTGGGTCTTGTTAGGGGAGGGCCAGCCGCAAGGTTGCCTGCCAGGTGCCTGCTTCTCACCCGCGCCTCCTGCACATCCACCCCAGCATGATCCAGGACCTGGACATCGTGATGCTGGTATTCCATCACTTTGGAAAGGACTTCCCCAAGTCAGAGAAGCTAAGCCCTGATGCCTTTATCCAGCTAGCCCTGCAGCTGGCATACTACAGGTGCGCCCTGCCTGACCACCTGCCCCACAGAGGAAGAGGGGAGGGGAGTTGCAGGCAGCCTGCTGTGGAGAGGGGACATACTGAGACCCACCTCCCATCCAGGATCTATGGACACTCATGTGCCACATATGAAAGTGCTTCTCTGCGCATGTTTCACCTGGGCCGCACTGACACTATCCGCTCAGCCTCCATGGACTCACTGGCCTTTGTCAAAGGCATGGATGACTCTAATGTGCCGGTGAGAGGTCTGGGACAGGGTGGGTAGGCTGCACCGGGTCATCTTCCTTCCTGTTCTCTCTCTGTGCAAATGGATTGCACCTCCATGGTATTTCAGCCCCACACTGGGCAAAGGGCACATAACAGATGATGGAGCCATGAATTTAGTTCTGAGCTTTCTGGCAGCCAAGGCAGACCCATGTATCCATCCATTCATAAGAGAAGCCAGCCAGCCAGCTGCCCACTCTTAGCCCAGCCAATACTGGGCTCTAGAGAATGAAGAGTTCAGTACTTGCTGTGGTGCTGGGTGCAGAGTGAGCTGCTAACGTGGGAGAGACAGCCCTTCAGCTTCCTCTGTCCCCCACCCCACCCCCAGGAGCACGAGAAGGTGGAGCTGCTTCGGAAGGCCGTGCAGGCCCACAGAGCCTACACTGACCGGGTAAGTGAGCCCTACCCTCCTTCCTTATTGTCCATTACCACCCCTGCCTGCCTGTCCATCTTCCCCTCCATTCCTGGTAAGAACTGCCTCTTCCCAGAGCTCTGGAGCCCCTGGGACTCTCTCCATTTTAAATTAATATTGTCAGGCTGAAGAGATGGCTCAGGGGTTAAGAGCACTGACTGCTCTTCCAGAGGACCTGGGTTTAATTCCCAGCACCCACATGGCAGTTCACAACTGTCTGCAACTCCAGAATCCAACACCCTCACACAGACATACATGCAGATAAAACACTAATGCACACGAAATAAAAATAAATTTAAAAATTAATTAATGTCACCATTTGAAGTTGGTGAAGCCAGGGTCAACCTAGCCACTGCCCTGCTCCCAGGTCCGTGATCAAATTGAGCACTAGCCGTCAGGTCTGGTGTTGTGCATTCTCCCTGATGGCCCGGCAGATGGCATCTCTCCTGTTCTCCAGCAGCTAACACCACAGCCAGGGAGGAGGTGGTCTGGGCACCAGCAGGCACAGATACCGCCTGTCATGTGAAGGGCACACTGCTCCCTCCGTATTACCCAACATGTAGACGGCCTATTCCACGGCCTGTGCAGGCCCTGGCCTTGTTACATGGTAGATGCAGCTCATCTTACATGCAAACACTGTCTAGCCCTCACTGCACCACTCATTACCAGAGCTCATGTTTTGTTGGGTTTTTGTTTGGTTTTCGAGATGGTTTCTCTGTGTAGCCCTGGCTGTCCTGGAACTTGCTCTGTAGACCAGGCTGGCCTCGAACTCACAGAACCACCTGCCTCTGCCTCCCAAGTGCTGAGACTAAAGGCGTGCGCCGCCACCACTTGGTGAGAGCTTATGTTTTACATCCTTCACTGTTCTGCCGCCCTGGGCAGTTGTCTGCTCCTCTCTGGCCCTGGTTTCCCCATCTGGAGGTGAGGACTCCTCTGCCTGGACACCTGGGCCTCATGGTTCTGAGAGACCAGGGGCTGGAAGGGGCAGCACTGCCCCAGACCCGAGGGAGCAGGCTGTGACCTGCAGCACCTGCCCTTACACTTCCCCACCCACAGGCCATCCGAGGAGAGGGCTTTGACCGGCACCTGCTGGGACTGAAGCTGCAAGCCATTGAGGACCTGGTGAGCATGCCCGACATCTTCATGGACACCTCTTATGCCATTGCTATGCACTTCAACCTTTCTACCAGCCAGGTAGGCCACTGCCTCAGGTGCCCTGGGGAGGGGGATTAGCACCCACTGGCAGGGAGGGGCTGGAGAGATGGCTAAGAACACTGGCTGCTCTTCCAGACGACTCAGGTTCAGTTCCCAGCACCCTCGTCAGGTTGTTTACAACCACCTATAACTTTGGTTCTGGGTGATCTGATGTCTTCTTCTGGCCTCTGTGGGCAAACACATACACGTGACACATATACCTACACTCAGGCATACACATATATAAAATATACATCATCTTTAGAACCCACTGGCAGCTGGACCTTAGGGGTAGTGTGGCCCACACAGGTCACCACAGGCTCACTGCCAAAGCACCTGAGTTCCCAAGCAGGAGCTCAGGGTAGACACTGCCGTGACAAGCATGGGAAGGCTTAGGCCTCTTAGGAGACTCGTCCACTCTTCCGTCGCCGTTTGTAAATGACTGCCTGATCAGGACCAACTAACGTGCGCCGGGTGCTGGGGCGCAGCTGGGGACAAGCCATAGTCCCAGGAAGCTGCCAGTATCTATGGAGCACAGGCAGCGATGGCCCCAGGGCGGTGCTAGGGGCCAGAGGAGTGCAGAAGGAGCACCACGCTCCTCCAGGAACGTGAAGGAAGGCTCACCCCACCCACGGAGAAAGGGGAGGGCACAGGGAGGAGTGCAGAGGGAGCACCACGCTCCTCCAGGAACGTGAAGGAAGGCTCACCCCACCCACGGAGAAAGGGAAAGGGCACAGGGAGGAGTGCATGCAGAGAGGCAGGCTGGTACGACCAAGGGGCAGGAGGGCCACCGCAGGCCTGGGGGTGACCGCTTTGAACCTGCTGTCCCCAGGTGCCTGCCAAGACAGACTGCGTCATGTGCTTCGGACCGGTGGTCCCAGATGGTTATGGCGTCTGCTACAACCCCATGGAGGCCCACATCAACTTCTCCGTGTCGGCCTACAACAGCTGTGCTGAGACCAATGCCGCACGCATGTCTCACTACTTGGAGAAAGCTCTGCTGGACATGCGCACTCTGCTGCAGAACCACCCCAGGGCCAAGCTCTGAGCCCAGGCCAAGGCCTGCCAGCACCACAGCCAAGCCCTCTTTGGGATGGACACCTGCCATGGCTCAGTTCCTTGGCTCCTGTGCCCTCCAATTTCACTGAGCCAGGCAAAGTCTCTAGCAGGGCCCCAAGGTCCAAGCCAAGTGCCTTTCAGGTCCTGTCCTCAGCACCTGCCATAGTCCAAGTGCCAGAGTTGAGTTCAGAGGCTGAACAAGACTAAGGCCTAGGTCCTCAACATGTCATCCACCAACATGAGTCCCAGGGAAGGGAACCAGTCTAGCCCATCCCTCCTCACAGCAGGAGCCGTGAAGAGTTCCTTTCCTCAGCCCTGACCAGTAGCTACCGTCTCCACAGCCCATCTGAAATCTGTCTTCATCCATAAACGCCCAAGGACCAGGAGTCAGGATTATCTAGCGCTGAGTGGCTCTCAGCCTTCCTGAGGCTGAGGGTCAAGTCTTTGTAGCCAAAGGGACACTGGAGGCCTCGCCTCCATCACTCCAGCTCAAGGTGCCATCTCCCAGCTGCCACGCTCTTTCTGGTGACTTGCCCCAGCCTTCTTGCTTCCGTTCAGCTTGACTCCATCCAGAACTACATCCATGGTTCCATAATGTGACTATTCCAGGTGATCAATAAAGGCAAGAAGTGCTGGTGAAGACAGTTTCAACTGGGGCAGGTAGAGGACAGATGCCCGGCATGGCCATCCTCTGGCTGGTCCCGAGAGCTGCTGTCCAAATAGCCGATGCTTTTGCTATATGCTCCCAGGGAAGCCAAGAGAAGTCCTCAAGCAGGGCTCAGAGCTGAGGACCAGCCCCCACCTTGGTGCTGAGCCAGGGATGGTGCCCGACCCCAGTGGGTCTGTTTGTACAGCACCCTCCCACTATCCCGGCTTTCCCAGTCCATGATGCACAGTGGGGGGGGGGGGGCTGCAGCTCGGAGGGCTGCACTGAATTCAACAGGGGGGCTAAGCAAGCAGGGCCCTGTCCTCAGAGAAGCAAGTGCTTGCTGGAGGTGGGCTAGGGAAGCAGTGCACTGTCCCCAACCCTGACACCTGCCCAAGTCCCTGGGTACACATGTGCTTGGAATGGGGGGCTCTCACATCTGTGAAGGAAGTGCTTCATGGCCTGACCAACCTGTGGTCACCTGGCAGGGCCTGTGGCATGTACCAGTTTTCACACGAAACCTGCTCAGAGGAGCTGATGTCACCATACTACTAAATAGCAGGCTCCCAAGGGTCCATTAGTCATCTTCAGGCCAGGAGAGGTCCGAGAAGGTCCTGAAGCTCAACTCAGCCCAGCTTCACACACCCATCAGCTGACCTACAGCAGTCGGGATGCAAAGGAACTGTACCGGGTGAGGCCTTGGGCTCTGACTAGGCCCCGGTTCAGGCAGAGCTCACTGTAACTTAACACTGTGACAAAAATTTGAAGTCCAAGCTGGGCATTGGTGGTGCACGCCTTTAATCCCAGCACTCAGGAGGCAGAGGCAGGCAGATCTCTGTGAGTTCAAGGCCAGCCTGGTCTACAGAGTGAGTTCCAGGACAGGCTCCAAAGCTACAGAGAGAAACCCTGTCTCGAAAAATCAAAAACAAAAAATAATTTAAAGTCCAAGATACATTCCTTTTCCTGGGGTCACTACTAGCCAGCAGTCATACCTGTCAAGATTCTACCCCCTCCCCCAGTACTTCACCCAGCTTCCCACCACGTGAGGAACACGTGACCTCCCGTGTACCCTCACCCAGAGAGTGTGGCTGTGTACCTTGGCATAACCTGCCAGGAAAGGAAACTATCTGCTTCGGGCCAGCCTGTGCTCACTCAGTCCTGCAAGGCCTCTGGTCACCAGCCTGGCGGACAGGCATTCCTGCCAAGGCAGAACGCACAAGTGAGTAGATCATGGAACCCCTGTGAAGGGCAGGGTCTCCCGAGTCCTCAAGACTTCTGTGGAGGAAAAGCTGGCCAGGGCTAGCCTCTGACAGGCAGGGGGGGCGTCTGACAGGAGCAGAGACACGAGTGGCAGACCCCAGAGGCTGGCGACCTCCTGTGGCAGATGTTGAGGCCACTCAAACCCTCACTTTGGGGGCTGGCGGGGACTAAGTCCCCTGGAAATGCTTGTGGCTTCAGAGGGCCACCTGTGCCCCGGCTGTCACAGCCTCCTCTCCTGAGCTCAGTTAATGTGTACTCAGCCTCCAGAGTTTCAGATTTTATTTTAAAACAATAGTAAACAATTTTATTTTCTTAAACCACCTCACACTTGGCTTGTCTCAAGCAAAAAGTCAAAAATAAAAATCCTAGGGGAAGGGGAGGGAATGTGACTGACTACCTCCCTAGAAACCAGCCCTGGCCCTGGCATCTCGAGGGGCTTGGACACGGCCTTTAACAAACACGAAAGGAAAGCACCAAAAACTTGTGCTTCAGCAGCAGGTTAGGACCTCCACGAAGAAAGGGGGAGGGTTCGAACACAGTCCCCAGGGGCTGCTGCAGTTCCGGAAGCATCTCCACAACTGTGGCAGGCTGACGCGGAGAGAGGCCCTAAGAGGGACTCCTTGCAGCCGGGCAGGTGGGGGTCGAAGAGCCCACACCCAGGCAGCCTCCAGGGCAGGCCAGGGAGGACAGGGACAGATCCAGAGCACACAGGACAGCTGATGGGGGGGGGTGTCAGCATTGCCACACGGCCAGAATCCTAGCTCCTGGTTCCTCTGTTTGTTCAAGTGGGGATGAAGACGGACAGACTGCCACTGGATGGCCAGACAAAAGCAGCTGTAAACGCTTGGGTGTGCTCACCCCTGTGTGCAGGCTCTTTTGTCAGGAGGGACAGAGGACCAGGGAAAGCCCTTGTGATGTTGGGTGGGTCTAGGGAAGAACGCGATGACAGCAGCCGACAGACGGGTGCTCGCCCTGGGCCCCGCCCCCAGGCAAGGAAACACTGACAAGGTTCTGGAGTGGGGGCAGGGAGGGCAGGGGAGGCCTCGCTCGTGGGCCCCAGGCCCCAGGCCCCACTCAGGTCCAACAGGAGGCAGGCTGCCCCAACTCAGGGCACGGGGCCTGGGAGCTGACCGGGGTCCCTTTGTACACAGGGCAGCCACCGCGGAGCAGCCTCTTCAGCCTGGACTCCACAGTCCCCAAAAATAAATAGTGTGCGCTCCATCACCTGGAGTGCCTGGTCTCAAGACCAGAGGACCGAGCCCCGTGCTCTACCCAACCCAGGGCCCATGCCAAGAGCACTTCCACCCAGTCAGGAGCCGGCAGCAGCAGAGCCAGGGTCTCCGGCCATGTGACCCACAGACAGCAGGCCCTCCCAGGGTCCTCGCCGAGGGCCTGACTCAGCCCTTTGGTCCACCATGTCCATTAAAATTAAAATAAGAAAAAAAAAGGCTCCACTTGGTGACTTGGGTCTGTCGAGGTCTCTGCTTCACCCCTCCGTCCATCATCCTGTCCATCCCGCGAGGCGTGGCGCAGGCCAGATTCAGGGGCTTGACCCAGCCACGCCCGCCAATCACTGCAGCTTTGTCCCCAGCTTGCGTTGTCTGTTCCTGCAAAATGGGGTGATTTCTATGTGGGGGTGCCTGGTGTTGAGTGGCCAGCCCTACAGCTCTCCTCTCTCCCTGCTCAGTCTCAACGAGACAGGCAGATGCCCAACCACAGCCACCCTGACCAGGGCCAGGCCAATCAGAGCTCCTGCCACGGACTGGAACCCGAGGAGGGCCAGCATCAGCCTGGGCTGTGTCATGATGACCCAGGTTTGGAGCTCAGGAAGTGAGCAGGGGATGGCAAGATGAGGCTGGGACAAGACAAGGAAGGTCAGTGGTACTTGTCTGGGCCTGACTAATTGTGGGGGGTTCTGCCACTACCGCCAAAGCAGCTAGAGAGGTGGGGTGCTCTTCTTGGAGGAGGATGCAAGCAGAGGAAGGCACACTGAAGGGGGCTGCCTGGGACGGAAGCGCCTACTTGGAGGGCACAGGAGGAGTCACTGCTCTTCTCTAGAGGGGCTAGCCGAGGCTCAGAAGGAACGGTGCTGTGTAAGGTACCTGTAGAACTAGAGAGCTAACCGTGGCCCACGGGGTCCTGCTGTGATGGCCCCAGCCCTCCAGCTCGCACCCCAGGCTCTTGCACACCAATCTGTCTGTCTTGAGAGCTTCGTGCACGCTGTTCCTCTTCTCAGACGCCTCTGGGGGGCCCCGCTGTGAAAGGCCTGCTCATCTGTGTCACTCAGTGTCACTCAGGACTGGCCTGCTCTACTCTGGGAGCCTGTCGCTCCCGAAGCCTCTGAGCTGCACTCCTCGGTGTGGATCACATGGGCTGGCCCTTCCGTCCTCATGGACCCCCGCTGCTCTGAGCACCAGGAGGGGGAGAGCATGGCTGTCTCACTGTGCTCAGCCCCTGCACAGCCTGACGCGGAGCAGGTGCCAGGGGGAGTTAGTGAATGAAGGCAGCTGGCTGCTGGCTGAGCAGGGCCGGGCAGGGCTGGCTACTCTGGGAGCCAGGTGGAGAGCTGAGCCCAAGGCATCTGGGGCCTTTCTGTCACTAATGGGATTGCCCTGCCCTAACCCTCCAATCCCCTTTCCTCATGGATCCGAGGCTTTGCCCTTAAGCTCATTAGGATAATGTGGACCTTGATGTCCTGACACATCCCCTAGCTGCTGGACACCCGCCCTGCTCAATGGCCTATTACCCCTCCTGGAAATCTTCCAGGCATCCTCTGGAGCCTGACCTGACTTTCCTCAGAGCTTAGGGAGAGGCTAGCCTTCCCCCACCCCTGAAGAACTCCACCCCAGACTGAGGAAGAGCTTTGCCCTAACTTGCACGTGGCTTCAAGATGGCCCCCAGCTCAGTGTGCCTCAGCTTACCCAGCTAACAGAAAGCTACACAGTTCTGAGGATGGCCACACTCATATGCCCTGAAAACCCCAAGGCCCAGCTCTCTGTATCTGTGCTGTAGAGGGTAAAGGTACACAGTGGGTCAGCAGTTTACCACCGGCTCCCTCATCCCCTGACACACACAGCTCAGGCAGGTGACTTCCTTCTCTCTAAGCTCACTTTTCCCATCGCAAAAACTGGAGCACAGGAGAATTCAGTGTCAGAAATGGAAGCAAGTATCTAGCTTTTGAGGAGCCTTCCAAGTGGGGGGCAGCGTTGACTACTGTCCCCTGAACTCACCTGGCTTCTGCCCTGGTTACTGTGTACTCAAACCAGAGCACATTGGGAATGAGGCTCGTGTCACGGATGAGGAAAAACTCGGAGATGGGCCTGGAGAAACAGATACCCAAAAGCCAGGGCCATGGTGAGGGCATGAGTCTACCACCAAGTCAGATGTCCCAACAGTTCCTGGGCCCCTCCAGCCTCCTCCACTGCTCCATGAGACTGGCTGCCTTCTAAGTCTCTAAGTGCTGAAGCAAGGGCAAAGGATGGCACTCTGGCTGCTGAGCCTGAGATACCCATAAGCCCCTGGGGGAGGTGGTAGCCAGGAGTGTAGGCACTACAGCCTCATGCCACCAGAGGCCCAGACACTGGGCCACCCAGGACACCAGGCTCTCCAAAGATGGTCATACCTGTAGGGGGGCGGGGCAGAGTGCTGGGAAGGGATGGGGATTGGTTACCAGGCTGCTATCCTGGGGAACAGTGGGGTGAGAACTTCCTGGGTGAAGATGAACCAAGCGATGGCCATGAGGCTTCCAGCAATACCTCCATAGAGTACCTGACTCCAGGTGTGGTACAGCAGGTAGACCCTACGACAAGGCCAGAAGGGAAATTCAAGAGACATAACCAGAGACAGGCTTGTACAATACCCCATGCCCCAGGGCCAGTTCACAGGACCCTGTGTGTGCAGATGTGAGGACACACACAGAAGAGGCCCTTCCAGAGGCAGGAGGGATGGATGCTGGAGCAGCCCATCTCCAGACTTGCCTCCTTCCTGGCCAGCTCTTACACTGGAGCCCCCCTCCATCCCCACCCAGCCAGGAAGCTGGGGATAAATGGCTAATATAAGAAGCTGCTGTTACAATTGTGGGCTCAGGCTGCTATGTTAACAAGAGCAGCTAGAGCCCTGTCTGTTCAAATTAGAGACCATGTCCCTCTCCCAGTCCTACCATCCAGTCTCTGGGCCAGGGGTCCACAGGGACTGTTCAAAAGACACCAAGATCCTAGCAGGACCCCAGATGGGCAGGCTGCAGGGTGGGGCTCCTCCTCCCCCCTCCATACCTGCTATAGGAGACGAGAAAGGCTGAGGTGAGGAGGCCTAGGGTGAGCACATGCCTCCACAGCAAGTCCAAGAACCTGGCGTTATTTGTTTGATGCATTCTGGAAAAAGAGGTGCATCACACAGTCTCAACCCACAGCCTGAATAAGGGCCTCCCAAGAGCCCTTGGTCCCATCCCAAATCCTAGTGCAGCAGGTCCCAGCAGGACATAGCTCCCACGGGGTGGGGTAGGGGGTAGGGGTGCAGAAGCTCACCTTAAATACAGGAAAAGGAAGGAATAGACGGAGAAGAACCACATAAACTGGGAATGGCTGGAGGGCATCCCGTACTTAGTGCCCACTGCCGTGTGTGGGCCTGGGGAGGAAAAAAGAATGGCATCATGGGAGGACATGGGCTTCCTCATCATGTCCAACATGAAGCCCTGGGTCCTTAAGTCCCAGCCCTACCTCCACAGGGCCGAGGCTCCTGGATGACGTGTTTGATCAGCCAGTTGACACCTTCATTCAGTGCCAGGCCCCCGAGGAATGAAATCTGCTGGGAAAGACGGGTACTCAGTCGGGCCTCTGCACACCTGCTGGCCGCTACCTAGTCCCCATGACTGTGGGCTCCGAATGGACAGCCTAAACCAATGAGTGAACAACCTAGACCCAGCCAGGAGACCCTACAGGCTTTGCAGGGTAAGGCGCTGCAGACCGAAGGAGGGTTCCGGGCAATGTGGGGCCAGAACTCACCGTGTGTAGCTCCCGCTTGAAGATGATGAGGGTCACAAAACCAACAATAACAAAAATAGGGCTGAGACTCAGGTAGGCAAGGAGGTGGCCGGAGAGATCACCTGCAGGGAGGGACAGGATGAGACAAGGGCATGGGCATCGGAAGACGGGCCTGAAAGCCAACAGGGCCTAAACAGAACAGCAGGTCCAGAGCCACAGCCATGGACACCCAGTTACATACCAACTCCCCCACAGCTGGAAGGGTGCACCACCAACCACAAAAGCCCACACACCATGCGTTTTGAGAAGGGGCCTCTTCGTCTCCATCGCACAGAAGGAACTAAGTCTCAGCATGGCTAGGTACTTGTTCAAGGAGCATAACCAGAGAGAGGTGGAGCCCAGATGAACCCCAGTCTCTGGCCTGGTCTAGATACTGCAGCCATGGCTCTGCCCGAGGAGAAGTCTGAATCCCAAGGTCGGATGCCGCACAGCTCTGGGCTGCCCGTGGGGTGGGGCCTCTGGAGAAGGAAGTCTGTGCTCTTCCAGACACCAGATACAGAGCCACACTCAACGTGGCCACCCACAACAGTTAGCAGTTTCTCAAAACTTCTCCACAGGCAAGGCGCTGGCTTTTCCCCTTCCACCAGAGCCTGCATGGAGGCAGTGAGGACCACGGGCCTCTCTGAGACACAGAAGCTGGAGTTTAGAGTCATGCTGTTCCCTTGCTCACAGGCAGGGCTCCAAAGGCCACTCAGCACACACAGAGACAAGGTGGTGACTGAGAAGCTACTCTGGGGTCAGAAGCCACCATTCACTTCCTGTAGCAGCTTGGGCTGCTACAGGAACTCAGGTAAGGACTTTACCTCCCTAGACGGCCACACTCTCTCCTCTAGGGTGGGGGCAGTAGTATCCTTCCCACGGCTGTGAGAAACGATGTAAGATGCCCGGCATGGTCTCTGGCACACAGGACATTCCCACAGTGGTGCTCCCAGAGGCTGGGGGAACCCAGTATGGGAAAGAGCCCACACCAGCAACCTGGCCTTACACAAGCAGGCAGGTACCCACAGAGGCCAGAGAGCAGATCCCAGGCCTAAGAGTCAGCTGCACACACGCCTTATCTGGTCCTCCCAGAACAACTGACGGAGCTGCCCAGTGACCAGGTTCAGATGCTGATGTTGCCACAGTCCCACTAAGGAGCACTGAGTAAGTGAGTGCCCGCCCTTTTCTGAGCCCGTATCTGCCCAGCCCCGAAGCTCTGGCTCTCAACTCCACTGATAACTGCTCGCTACGAGGACAGGGCATGGCAGGGCCCCTGAACCTTTGGCCAATTCCTCAGGTTGTCTGACAGCAAGCAAGCCCCTCGGGCTTTCCTGTACACGTTGCTAGGGACTCTGGCCGTCCCCTCTCGGCTCCACACCCCTCCCGTCCTTGGGATGTGTTTCCGTAGGCCCTGCTTACCAGGCTCCGTGCAGTCCCGGCCCGCTTCCCTCCCACCCACTGCCCCAGTTGCAGGGACGGCTCTCCAGCTCCCTGAATACACTGTGCTGTCCTACTTCTGGATCCACGCACACGTGGCTCCCCCCCGGGGTATTGCCTAGGTGAACTCAGCAAACCAAAGCCAAGACCCAGCACCCCTACAAATCCCACCGATGGGACCATCACAAAACTCTCGGCCTGACTGATGGGAGGATGTGACTGGGCCGTGGTTCATGGCAGCTGTGGGATGGGCGCTTCTCTTTGTCCCCTTATACTTCGGGTCCCATGAGGGGGTGGCAAAGTCCCTGCACCCCACTGTCCTCCGAGTGGAGTAATGCATGACACTCCACAGGGCCCAGACACCATGGTAGACAGACAAAAGGAGCATGTTCACTATACTGAGGGATATGTAGTGCAGGGCTTCCAGAAGGGTATCCAGGGGACTGGACTTCACCAGATGCCCCCAGGCTCAACCGGGTCCCACGGCACACACAGCCTGTATATGTCATGGTGTTCTTTCTCAGCGGCAGGTGCCTTCTCCCCTGTGAGGTCATGAGCCCTCCAAGAAGCTTCTCTGAAGCCAGGGAGGGAAAGTCAGGAAGGTGTGGAGACCTCAATCAAGCCTCTCCCCTTCTCCAGGCCTGGTTTCCCTCCTCTGGAGCAGAGACTTTCCACAGAGCAAGCGTGCAGACACCTCACCATTCCAAACCCAGAGGCAGCTCAAGGCCTAGCCCCTGGGAGATGCTAAGGGGATGCAGAATGAATGAATGAGTGGAAGGATGCATGGTGAACAGGCACTTGGATAGGGCCCAACGCTGGGTAGGATTGCCACACCTTACGTCTAACCCACAGCACCCAGAGGCCAAGTTCTCCCTGCCTGTGGCCCTGTGCTCTCAGCAGCACCGAGCTCCCCCTTCCTGGACAGCCAGAGGTCGGCATGGGGCCTCCAGCGGCTCAGCAACAAACATCCCTCCAGGAGGGCGCTAACACGCTGGAGACGGAACTTCAGGGGTTTACTGGGTGTTCACCGTGGGCTAGGCCCTGTGCCCAGCACCTCTCAGGCCTGTGGGCATTTGATTCACACACCATTGCAGAAAGGAGACACTGTACTCAGAGCCCCTTAGGAAGATGGAGCGACTGGAACGGTGGTGCCTCCCCTGAAGCCCGGAAACGTCTCACCCCAAGGCCTAGGCTCCGCACCACTCTCCGGAGCCGGAACTTCAGAACCGTGGCTAATGGACCTTCCCACCCGAGAGGCGGGCACTCCCAGAGGCGTGTCGGATGGAAGCTCTTACAAGTCAAGCTCCCGGGGGCTGTGTGCCCCCTTGGCGACTAGCCTCTGCCCCGCTGCTCAGGGCGTGGCGCCGCAAATCCTCCCAGACCCGGCCTAGACCTGTACACTCCCTGCAACAGAGAGCTTTCTCCAGCAAGCAGCCCTCCGCATAGTGAAGCAAACTGGCACTCCCCGGCTCAGGGGAGGGCGGGGCACCGGGGACAAGGTCCAGGACCAGATCTCTGCCCGCCCCACCCAGACCTCTGGCCCAGGACAGCCCCACCAGCACCCCGGGACCCCGGAGAGCGACTTGGCCGCGCAGCCGCAGAGTGCACGAGCGAGCGGCTCACAATTTCGCCCAGCTCATCGCCGCCTCACTGCGCCTGCGCGGCGCGCGCGCCGGCCGAGCCCCTCCATGGCTCGCTGTTTGACAGTTCCCACCGCGGTCCTTCGGCGGCCCCACGCCGGCCCACGCGGCCCCGAGCGCCCGGGGCTGGGGCGCCGGCCCCCGGAGGACGTCCTCGAGACCGGGGCCGCCTCTTACCTGCAGGGTATTCGACGTGGGTGAGGGTCACCGGCCGCCATGAAGCGGGGAGCGAGCACTGTCCGTCCGCTGCCATCTTACCCGGAGACCGGGCTTCGCCGAGCAGCCAATGGGGAGCAAGGGGGGCGGTGGTCCTGACCTATCACGCCGGGGAGGCGCCACGCACCCAATCCGGGGCCGATTGCAGGTAGTGGCGCAGCCATTCAGGGTGCAGGCCGTGAGGCTGGGCCGCGCGGCGAATCAGAGAGCGGGGACCCTCGCAGCCTTGCCAGTGTCCAATCCCGGGTGAGCGCAGGTAGTTGCCTAGCCAATCAGGAGGACGGGGGGCTCCATCGCAGGACAGAGTGCAGAACAGCCAATCAGAAGGTAAGCCTGGCTCGGAGTGTGGACAGGGCGAGCCAATCAGGCGCTATCTCGGGGGGCGTGTTGTACTTTGGTGGGAGCTTTGGTTCGGCTGGCACCTGCTCCCAGAGTAAAGGCTTCCCGCAACCCCGAGCACGATGGAAAGGGAGCCTCAGCACCACCGGGTCTGAATCGACCCACTTTGAAAACAAAAATTAGTGCGTCATTATGAATCCCAGGCTTATCTTAGCATCATTTTCCCTCACCCTTTCAGGTTCCGGCTTCCTGTCCATAAATGTAAATTGAGGCCTAAGACCCACAGCGAATTTTTTCTGTCTTTTACTGACATACAGAAAGCACAGTTCTGCAAAGGAGCCTTTTTGTTAAAAGATCATGGGTCCTAACTCCTGAGCACATACTAGGCATCTTAGCTGGAATGCTACTGGTTCCATCAATTACGCTATGTAGTGAGGCCACTTGGGAACATTTTCAGTAAGTCCAGATGTTCCATCTTCCCTTCTCTGTTTTCCCAAAACATTCTTGATACAGCCACACCTCCCACTCACAGTCTAGGCCAGGAATTCTGCCTCCAAGCCTTTACCTGTGTAGTTCCTCTGCTTGGAATGGGCACACACTCCGGCCCCATTTCCTGGCCCAGGCTGGCTTGTCAGTTCATACTTACAGGCTCCCACTCTGGGATGCCTCAAAAACAAAACAAACAAAAAGCCCGGGGGCCTCCAGTGCTCCCTGACAGTTGCACCCCCTTTGCCTACCTCATCTCTGGCTCCACTACACTGTATTTCCTTGTCCGTCTCTGCCAGTAAGCAATCGTTCCCTGACCTCACTGAGCACTGCAGTATGTACAATAAAAATGGTTATTATTCCATTATAATGGAATATAAGGTTCCTGGGTCTCTCTGGGGCCTGGGTCAACCCAGTAGGTCGGGATTTGAGCCTTGGCCTCCATATTCTCTGTTCTTGGGTTTCTGATACAGGTGGTTGTAACTCCACCTTAAAAAAAAAATAGGCAACTTACATCCCACACCTGGCCCAACCCAGACCTATCATGTTCTTGATAAATGACATAGCACAGGTACCTGATAGGTGACCTAGAATAAATACTCAATAAACAACATGGCACTTGAGGTGGAATGGGGTCATTAGCTAGAGTGGCTTAGTTTGGCAGCCTACAGAAGCCAGGACTGAGGCTTCTCACTAGGTTGGGGACTTGCTGGTGACTCAGAATCCAGCTGTGGATCCGGAAGACCCCTGCCCCCAGCTGTGTTCAGCTTCCCTTCCATCTCCCCAGCCCAGCCTGAACTTGTCGGGGTCAGCTGGCCTCACTCCTTCGTCACCTGCCCTCAGCTCTCACAGGCAATGCCATTATTAGCCTCTCAGAGAAAGAGGTGTGAAGAGTGGCCAAGAGCTGCCTAGAATAGTTGTCTGAGACAGGGCAGCCATGGGAGCTCAGGCCGCCTAGCCTCTCCTCAACAAGCCCACAGAGGCAAAGTCCCTGACACACTGGGAGAGCGTTCCTGAGGAAGTGACAAGATGAGGAACTAGCGAAGTGTGGGAGTCATGGGGTGGGTTTCTGGCAGAGGAAAGAGCATCACTGTCTTGTGGTCCAGCCTGGCTGTGTAAAGGAGCCCCAGGATGCTGGGGGAGGTGAGCTGGGCCACTGAGGCCTGAGAGCGTGGCTGGGGCTGAGGAGAGGGAAAGCTCTGGAGGATAAGTAAGTTGGTTTCTTTTTTCTCTTATAAAGGCAGGGTCTCACTATGTAATCTTGGCTGGCCTGGAACTCACTATGTAATGGTATGTAGGCTGATCTGGAACTCAGAGACCTGCCTGCCTCTGCCTCCCAAGTGTTGAGACTGACGTTGTGTGTCACTACACTCAGTATACTTTTGCTATTTTTTAACAAGATTTATTTATATATCATATATATAGTACCCTGTCTGCATGCATGCACGGCAGAGGGCACCAGATCTCATTAGATGGCTGTGAGCCACCATGCGAGTGCTGGGAATTGAACTCAGGTCCTCTGGAAGAGCAGCCAGTGCTCGTAACCGCTGAGCCATCTCTCCAGCCCCCACTTTTGCTATTTTTTAACTAAATAAAATATTTAACTGGGTGGCATGTCTTAAAATTATAGCACCTGAAAGGCAGAGGCAGGAGGATAGAATTCCAGCCCATGCTGCATAGTAAGTTCCAAGCAAACTTGATCTACATAATGAGACTTTGTCTCAAAAAAAGAAAAGATGAGCCAGATGGAGCATGCCTATGACCCCAGCCCCTGGGAGGAGGCAGGAGGATCAGGAGTTCTAGGTCATCCACAGGCTACATAGTGAGGTCTTAGCTAGCCTGGGATACATGAGAATCTGCCTCAAAAAATAGAAAGAAAAAAACCAACTAAACTAAAAACCAAATTGTGTATGAGTGTGACTTTCATGCTAGTCCTGGTGATGTACACTTACAATCCCTTCACTTGGGAAGCTAAACCCGGAGGATCCAGAATTCAAAATCATCCATGTATGTGCTCATATGTGACATTCTAAGAAACCAGAAAGCAGATGGATATGGGTCAGTGTGTTTCAGAAGCTAAACATTCTTGTGTAAGAATCCCCTAGAGAGCTGGGCAGTGGTGGTGTTCGCCTTTAATCCCAGCACTCTGTAAGCAAAGGCAAGTGGATCTCTGGGATCTCTGTGAGTTCGAAGACAGCCTGGTCTACAAAGCAAGTTCCAAGACAGCCAAGGCTATGAGAGAAACCCTGTCTTGGAAGAAAAATAAAAAAGAATCCTCCAGTTAAGGATGGCCTGTGCAGCCACCCTAGGTGACGACTGATGCTCTACGTCAGACATATTTGGGTTTGCACCTGCTTTAAGCAGGACCCGCAGTGCACATCCGGCACACTGGGCACTGACTGTGGAGTTCTTCATGCTGTGGCCTACAGCTACCCTGCTGTGTGCTAGCTCATGGTATAAACTACCGGTTTACTTCCCATTCGACTCTTGGAGGGCATTTGGGACCAGGGCAGCCATCTCAAGTATAGGCCGAGCTGAAGTTCCCGTATGGGTCTACAGAGGCAAAGCAAACCCATGGGTACATCTCTGGTGTGCTTGAGTGTGTTGCTGATAGAAGTGTGCCCAGGAGACACTGCAGGGTCCCCTGGCATGGCAGAGGTGACAAGGTCAGACCAGCTGTGTAGATGAGGGGCTCTGCCTCTAACTCCTCCATCTAAGAGGAGAGTTAGACCAGTGGCATATGAAATCCTTCTGATCATCCCATGAGATGTTCCTCCTTAGTCCCTTGTGCCGGTCCCAGCAGCCCTAAGAGACAGCCCTTGTTTTGTTCATTCTTATTTAGTATGTATGGTGTTTTGCCTGTATGTCTGTCTGTGTACTGTGTGCATGCAATGCCTGTGGAGGCCAGAAGGGGGCATCAGATTTACCTTGAACTGGAGTTACAGATCCTTGTGAGTGGCCATGTGGATACTGGGAATCAAACCCAGGTCCTCTGGAAAAGCAGCCAGTGCTCTTAACCACTGAACTATCTCTCCAGCTGTTTCTGTTTGTTTACCAGGTCTTATGTAGCCCAGGCTGGTCTTTAACTCACTGTATAGCCAAGGGTGGCTTTGAAGTATTGAGCCTCCTCCACAGTGCTGGGATTACAGGCATACTACGCCGCCACGCTTGGTTTACAAGGCAGATCTTCATGTGTCCAGTTTATGAATGAAAGCAAAAAGATTCAGTGCATTCAGCTATTTGCCACAGACACCTAGCAACTATGTAGCAGTGTTGTTTTTATACAAAATCCCAAACATTCATTTTTACCAATAAAGACTCGGGAGCCAGATGCTGGAGTGAAAACCTGCTAGCTCAGAGAGGCAAAGGAAGCATCCAGCTGATCTTCCTCTTCCACCGACATCCCAAAAAGAGGGCCTTTCTCCTAAGCCATCTCAAACAAAATTCCTCATACTGAATGCCCCTCCCTTCTTCTTCCTGTGCTCCCTCTTACTCTCTCTTTTTCCTGTCAGCTGATTGCTTGCTCCGCTTCTTGACCTAGGGCTGACTTTATTTAATCCTGTTTACAATAACCAAGCAGAAAGCTCTTGGATTAAAGGTGTGTGCTAGGGCTGAGCCTCACCACAGCTAGAAACTGGTTTTTCCAGTAAGCAATCTTGGGGTTCACAGTGTGATCAAACATCCTACAACAGAGCAGAGTGGGAACTTGTGCCCCGGACTACCTAACAGGTTCAGAACCACCCTGCCTTATTGAATCAAAGTACTGGTTGCCTGGAGAGATGTCCCATGGTCAAGGGTATGTACTGCTCTTTCAGAGGCTCCGTGATGCCCACGGCAAACAGGTCACAACGGTCTATAACTCCAGCTCTAGGGGACCTGACTCCTCTGACTTCTGTGGGCACCTGCACTCTTTGCTGGATAGTTTTATATCAACTTGACACACACTAAAGTCATCTGTGAGGGGGAACTTTCAATTAAGAAAATGCTTCCTGGGCTGGAGAGATGGCTCAGCAGTTAAGAGGACTGGCTGTTCTTCCAGAAAGAAGAAGGAGGAGGAGGAGGAAGAGCAGGAGGAGGAGGAGAAGGAGAAGGAGAAGAAAAGAGAGAGAGAAAGAAAGAAAGAGAGAAAAGAAAAAAAGAAAATGCCTCCTAGGGGGCTGGAGAGATGGCTCAGCGGTTAAGAGCACTGGCTGCTCTTCCAGAGGACCCAGGTTCAATTCCCAGCACCCACATGGCAGCTCACAATTGTCTGTAACTCTAGTTCTAGGGAATCTGATACTCACACAAACATACATACAGGCAAAACACTGATGCACATAAAATAAATACATAAACAAACAAATAAATCTTAAAAACTATTAAAGAAAAGAAAATGCCTCCATGCTGGATGGTGGTGGCACACACCTTTAATCCCAGCACTCAGGAGGCAGAGGCAGGCAATCTCTGTGAGTTTGAAGCCAGCCTGGTCTACAAAGCCAAGAACCAGGATAGCCAGGGTGATTACGTACACTCCGCCTCAAAAACAAAAACAAAAACAAACAAACCTTCCCCGCCCCCCCAAAAAAAGAAAGAAAGAAAAAGAAAACACCTCTATAAGATTAGGCTGTAGGGAAGCCTACTGGGCATTTTTTAATTAATGATCAGTGTGGGAGGGCCCAGCTCATTGTGGGTGGTGCCATCCCTGGGCTGGTCATCCCGGGTTCTGTAAGAAAGCGGGTTGAATGAGCCATTGTGAGCAAGCCAGTAAACAGCTCCCCTCCACAGCCTCTGCATCAGCGTCTGCCTCCAGGTTCCTACCCTGACTTCCTTCAGTGATGGACTACGATGTGGAAGTAGAAGCCAAATAAACGCTTTACTCCCCACGTTACTTTGGTCATGGTGTTTCATCATAGCATTAGAAGCCCTAACACACACACACACACACACACACACACACACACACACAAACACACACTTAAAAAATAATAAAAATAAATCTAGAACAACAGAACCAGGGAAGTGGGTGTAGCTCTGCTGGCAGAGTGCTTGCTTAGCATACATGAGCTCTGGATTGGATCCCCAGTGTGAAATGAGTTTCTCTCAAAAACATTATTCTACCAGAGGAAGCACCAACTGAAAGACCACATATGACATGATCCAATTCACTGGAAAGGTCCAGAAAAAGCAAGGAGTGGAGAAAGCTGGTGGCAGCTTGGAGAGAGCACACGAGGGTGATAGAAACACTCTAGACGTGTATTGTGGGAGCTGGTACGTTCTGCGTCCTTCCTGAAACCCTTAAGGAAATGCACATATGGGGTAGGAAGTACACTCGGCAGTGCTGCTTACACAAACCGCTGGCCTTGTTTAAAGCCTACTTATTTCCAGGCACTGGAGTGACATGTCACAGCTTCCACCTCTGCAGTTGCTGAAGGGGACTCAAGCATGCGCCCTTCCATTTATTCGGTTGAGGTCTCCGGCATCCCAGCTGGCCTCGAACTGGCTATGGAGCTGAGGACAATCTTGTCCTTTTGAACCTCCTGTTCCCACCCCCACAGTGCTGGCCCCACAGTTGTGCGCCATCAAACCCAGTTTAGGTGGTTCTACAGAGATTGAAGCCAGGGCTTCCCGCATGCCAGGCAAGTAGTCTACCAGCTGAGGCCCCCTGCCCTGTCTCGTTTCTCCTTTTTGAGAGAGGGTCTCATGTAGAGCCAGACTAGCTTAGACTTACGTAGTAGCCAGAGGTGGCCTTGGACTCCTGGTTGTCTTCATCTCTACCTCAGTGTGCACCACTTCACCTGTCCCCTTTTGAGATGGGGTCTCTTGAAGCTCAGGCTGCCCTTGAACTCGGTGTAACCAGAGATGGCTTTGCCCTTCTGATCTTCATGCCTAATCTCTCTCTCCTTTCCCAGGATTGCAAACTGTGCCGCCACACCCACGACATTTTCAGGTAGCCCTGGAGTTAGGTTCTGCCAGAGCCCCGATGCAGACAGGACCGCTGCTGTGTGCAACTGTGATAGGCCTCCACCCACCAGAGCCCCGCCTCAGATCGCTCGCTGCTGCAGTGCTTCTAAAGGCAGCTCATGCCTGAAGCTCCTCTAAACACACTGGAAACAAACATGGCAGAGTGTTAATTGCCAACTCAAGGTATTGGTTTTGTAGTGTACTTTGTTGGGTTTGAATAGTGTGGGGCTGGGGACTGAATGCAGGGCTGTGTGGGTGCTGGCTAAGTGCTCTGCCATAAAGATGCACCTTCAGTCCTTGAAAAAGCCAGTCAAGCTCAATATGGTGGCACAAGACTTTAATTCCAACACTCAGGATGCAGAGCCACATATATCTCTGTGGGTTCAAGACCAACCTGGTCTCCACAGCAAGGACCAGAACATTCAGGGCTACCAAGCTACAGAGAGATCCTGTCTCAAAAAAGAAAAAGGAAGGAAGGAAGGAAGGAAGGAAGGAAGGAAGGAAGGAAGGAAGGAAGGAAGGAAGGAAGGAAAGAAGGAAGGACCTGGCTATACAGAGACCCTGTCTAAAGAAAAAAAGAAAAATTCTGTGTGTGTATGTGCACATGTTGTACAGATGTGGGGCCAAAGGTAAACGAGTGTCTTCCTTTACTGATCTTGACGTCATGTTTTAAGACAGGAACTCTCGCTGAACCCAGATTTGTGATTCAGCTAACCTGGCTGGCTGGCCTTCATGGCCCTAAGGATCTCTGCTCCAGCTGGAATTACGCTGCCACATCAGGATGCTGGGGACAGAATTCCCACGGCAAGCACTTTATCTACCCCATGCCCAGTCCCCCGCCCTTAAAAAACTTTTTCCAGACAGGGTTTCTGTGTAACCCTAGTTGGCCTAGAACTCACTCTGTAGACCAGACTGGACTTAAACCCATAGAAATCCTCCTGCCTCTGCTGCCTGAAAGCTGGGATTAAAGGCGTGCACCACCCAATAGCTGTATATTGGCTGTTTTTCTGTCAACTTGACAGAAACTAGTCATCAGAGAGGAGGGAGCCTCAACAGAGAAAATGCCTCCATAAAATGGGGCTGTAGGCAAGCCTGGAGGGCATTTTCTTAGATGGGGAGGGCCCAGTCCATTGATGGTGGGCCATCCCTGGACTGGTGGTTCTGGGTTCTATACAAAAGCAGGCCGAGCGAGCCAGTAAGGAACACCCATCAATAGCCTCTGCCTCGGCTCCTGCCTCCAGGTTCTGCCCTCACTGCTTTTAATGATGAACTATTATAAGGAACTGAGAGTGATGCTGGGTGGTGGTGGCGCATGCCTTTAATCCCAACACTCAGAAGGCAGAGGCAGGCAGATCTCTGAGTTCGAGGCCAGCTTGGTCTATAGAGTGAGCTCCAGAACAGCTTCCAAAGCTACACAGAGAAACCCTGTCTGGAAACACACACACACACACACACACACACAAAGAACTATGAGTGAAATAAACCCTTTCCTCCCCAAGTTGCTTTTTGTCATGGAGCTTCATCCTAAGACGGATGCCCAAAAAGACCCGATAGACTGTGATCACCTGGCCCACCCTTCTCAACCGCTGCCTGGATGCAATGCCTATGATTTACAGATGTGAAAATGGAGGACCAGAGGTACAGGTCACCCACTTCACATCTGCATCTTGCCATCCCAGGGACATACAGAGCTTGTCATGCTGTCACGTGGCCCCAAGAGGGTTCACAGCCCACATCAGACTGATCGTGACCTTGTTCCTCCTGGAACCTCTACCCATTGCACCCAAGGGCAGCTTTCCAGCCACTGCTCCCAACCCACCACAGCCCAGCCCTACACCCAGCAAGACACAGGAAGAGGCCGGTTCCATCATTTATCTGATTCACAGTCGTCGCCCACACTCTACATCAGGGTTTGGAAGTTGAGACAGATTGAGTGCTAGAGGCCAGTGCATGAACACATAAACAAGGACAAGATGAAAACGCCACTGCTGTGGGATCTAGGGGTGAATCAGGTGGGCCTTGGCCCAGGGTTACATTCACAGCTCAGGGTAAGTGCAAATGAATGGAATGTCAAGACAGTGCGGAGGGCTGCTCCCTTCTGGGCAGAGGCCTGAGAGGATCTGCAGCCAGAGCCATGGCCGCCCTATCCTCCCTGTATCCTCCCGACCCTGGGAAGCCCTTGCCCCTTCCAGAGGGACTAGGTCCCAGAGCCAGTGCTCAACTCCAGACCGGAACAGGAGTCTTTTCTCCCGCAGGTCTCACCACCTGGGATGGGCAGAACATCCAAATAAAGTGTTAAGGCAATAAATAAAAACTTCCCAGTTCAAGCGAAAGGAGAGGGCTGCCAGGACCCGGGCAGCTGCCACGGCAAACGCTCACGGAATGTCTGCGGGCCCCTGGGTGGCAGCTGCCGGAGGTGGGCTCTGTGCAGCTCCAGAGTATGTGTGCATGGAGCTGAAGGCAAAGTGCTGAGTCCAGCTTCTTGTCAGAAGTGGGGGGGGGGGGGACGGGGCCCTGCTGTGCATCCTGCCACCCTCTGCCCTCCTTGCCACGGTTTCTAGGTCCTCGCTTCTAGAGCAGCAGATGGTAACACAGGGGATAGGCCTTCGTGAGCTCTGGTTAGAGCCCTCAGCTGGAGCCCAGCACTGACCAGGGAGGGAGCTCCAGGGTCATAGGCTAGTAGGAAGTGCCCAGTGCCACCTCCTCCATCTTTGGTGGTGGCAGAGGTGGGGTATGAACTGAGTCTTTGGCAGGGCTTGGGACTGTGGGAGGACAGGGTCCTGGGTTGTTGGCGCCTGGTTTGTGAAGGGCTAGTTCCCTGCTCAGATGTGAGCCCAGGCGGGGCTTTCCGTACTGGCCAGAAGCCTGGGTGCTGGCTATCCCCGGACCCTGTGACTTGTCACCACATAGCCCTGCATGTCCTGTCCCCCACTGACATCCTCCTCGTGCTGTCTGCAGCCCAGAGGGGTTGGGGCTCTGTGGTCCATACAGAGAGCCTTCTCCATAACACCTTCCGGTCTCACTGTCTTCCCCTTACCACACCTTACTGTCCCTGGCCTGTCTCTGCTTCCCAGGCAGCCCCGAGGGTTCCTAGTGGTTCCTCTCCATGGAAATTTGTCCTCTGGGTGTTGGGATTCCCAGAAGAGGAGGTAGAGCAGGCTCAGGGACAATGGCCCTTGGCCACCTGGCCCTCGGATGCCGACCTAAAGGGAAGGGCAGCCTTCTCTCTCCCATCACCCTTTGTGAGTGAGGCTCAAGCAGCCACCTCTCCCTGCAGCCTGTGTGCCCATTACTGCAGCTCTCCCAGGGGCCCGTTCTCCCGAGGCAGGGGCCCATTCAGCCCAGTGCTGCTGCTGGTCACTGGGGCCCCCAGGTAGCCCAACAGGATCTCGCTGCGGCGCCGGGACAGCTGCAGGATGTCCTCTGCCAGGGCTGGCACCGACGTGTACCGCACGTTGTCCAGGTCGAACATGTCCCTCAGGTACTGCACAATCTGGTGCTGGGGGGAGGAGACGGGTGTAGGGCCTGGGGCCTGGGACATTCCTACAGCCTACAAAGTCCCTTTCTCAATGACCAAGCCCCAGCCCACTCTCCCATGCTCAGGCCCTGCCCTCCTGGGGCTCCTTCTACATCCTCATCTAGAGCAGTCCAGGCCCCACCCCTCTTCTGGCACTGAGGGTGCCTGTGTCAGGAGCAGGGAGGCAGGGTCGTCGTCATATACCTTGAAGAAAGCACAGACTTCCGCGAGCTGGGGCTTGGGTCCCAGGAAGCCAAAGGCCAGCACAGGACTGACATGCTCCGATACGGAGTAGAAATGGGAGATGAAGCCATCCGGCACCTGTGGTGAGTGGCAGGACTAAGGACCAGGCCAGCGTTGGGGATCGGGGTCATCGAAAGGCCGACTTATGTCCTGGCTAGCTGACCCTGGGCTGGTGTGGCCCTGACTTTCAGTCCTGCAGAAGGGGCCAGCAGACTGTTCTGAGAGCTGCCCGTGCAGGCCTCAGTGGGCAAAGTCTGCCCAAAGCCCTGGCACAATGCTGTGCTGAGCGGGCAGGAGGAAGTCTGCCCGTCCCCCTAGCCTCCCTCCTTCAGTGTCCTCCTCCGCTGAGTCCTGGGGTATGATGGCCGCTCCCGAGGGAGGAAACAAGGTGGAGCTACATGCCCTCTGGGGCACCTGGCTGATAGGGGTATGGTGGCAGGGTGGGTGGTCAGTGTGGGAGGGGGGACTCCGGGTGCCCTGCTGGGCCTTCCCTTCCTAACTGGTCAGGGGAATGCTGGGAGTCAGGACCCAGCATAGCCCCCAAGGGGCTTCAGCCATCACTCACCATCAAGAGCCTCCTCTTGGCTTTCAGGACAGACCAGCAGGCAGTGGCTAGGGCCTAAACACAGAAAAGATCCCAGCCTAGGGTTAGAACACTAACTCACAGCCCCAGTCCTGGCCCCAGGATGGGCACTGCCCACAACTCACCAACACTCAACCCTGCCCGAGCCTTGTTTTTCTTTACCCTAAATTTGACGACAGATGCCTAGCTGTGTGTGTGTGTGTGTGTGTGTGTGTGTGTGTGTGTGTGTGTGTGTGTGTGTGTTTGTGCAGGAGCCTACAGAGGCCAAGGGACACTGGATCCCCGGAACTGGAGTTACAGGTGTTGTGAGCTACCTCGTGAGCATTAGGGAACAAACCTGGGTCCTTTTCAAGAGCAGCCAACACTCTTATCCATAGAGCTACCCTTACTGCTTACTTCTAACCCTTACTCCAATTAGATACTGAGGCTTCCCAGGCCTCAGTTTCCTCCTCTGTCAAATGGCCATGACACAGCACCCCACCTACCTCACCTGGTGGTCGTGGGGAGCCACCATGAGTATCTATGAGGTCAGTCATGGGCAGCAGCACCACAGTGTAACTAGAATATCACTGTTGTCTTTGGGTTTTTTATTTGGTTGGTTTTGGATTTTCTTTCTTTCTTTTTTCTTTTTTCTTTTTTTTTTTTTAAAGATTTATTTACTTATTATATACACAGTGTTCTGTCTGCATGTATGCCTGCAGGCCAGAAGAGGGCACCCGATCTCATTATAGATGGTTGTGAGCCACCATGTGGGTGCTGGGAATTGAACTCGGGACCTCTGGAAGAACAGCCAGTCCTCTTAACCTCTGAGCCATCTCTCCAGCCCTGCTTTTGGTTTTTCAAGCCAGGGTCTCACTATGTAGCTCTGGCTACCCTGGAACTAGCTCTATAGACCAGGCTGGCCTCAAACTCAGAAATCTGCCTGCCTCTGCCTCCAGAGTGCTGGGATTAAAGGTGTGCACCACCACTGCCTAGCTTGTTTGATTTTTGTTTGTTTGTTTTGGGGGTAGAGTTGTTGGGAGGGAAGTTTTCCTCTATTTTAAACTAATGTGATGCATTAAAATGAATGTAATTAGTGTCAACCCAGAGTACAGAGGGAAATGTGCATTCTGCTGGAACCAGGGCATCAGGGAGCTCCAGAAGGCCTGGAGAGAGCCCTGGGTCTACTGCCCCAGATCTCAGTGGGAAGGGACTAGTCCAGGAGTCAGAGGACTCCTAAATGAACTCTAGCGACAGGAAGACGAGTGGCATGTGACATGGACAAATGGGAAGGGACGGTGACCACCGTTTCCTTGAAGCTGTCGGACAGCCAGCGGTTCCGCAGGACAGCGAGCACCGAAGACGGGGGGTTCTCCAAGTCCTCGAAGGCGTCCATGAGGATGAAGTCCAGCACGATGTCGAAGAAGCTCATGCATGCCACCTGCAAGAGGGGGTGCTAGATCTAGAGCTGCTGTGCAGACAGCTGAGGCCGGAGGGAGCCTACTCGTGACACATGAGGAACTTACTGGCACCCAGGCTCTGTGCGGTAATGAGCCATCTCAGCGGCTTAGCACAGATGAGAACCGGGCACAAGCTCCCAACAAAAGGATGTCAGTTCGGAAGGACCCTAGAAGCTCAACAGGAACCAACTCACCCCTCGGCCCTCCAGCTCCAGCCGGGTGGTGGCCCAGGTCTCGGGCTGCAGGGCGTAGCTCAGCATCTCCTCATAGCTCTCCAGGAAGCCTTTGGGACTCTGTGAGAAGCACAGCCGGATCTGGTTGTGGGAGAGACCCTGAGACCCAGCCGGCTAAGATTCACAGGCAGGCTGGGCTGTGGCTAAGAATGTGCCAGCAGGGCTGGGGCCTTACCCAAAGAGGAGGCAAGGAGGTGTCGTCTACCTGGATCTTCTAAGAACCAGAGTGGGTTTGGGGCAGATTCCACACCAGGGCACCCAGCCATGTCTCAGTTTGGCTCAGGACTAAACACTGGTGGCCTTCTGGGAGCCAGGCACAGCTGTTACAAGATCTCTCCTTGGAGGTGCCCAGGTGGTGTGGTTTTCGGGGTGAGATGGGAGGCGCTGCCCACACCCCTGTGCTACCATCCACCGCCCCTGGCACAGCAGCACTCCATAAGCAGTGCTGGGCATTCTTGCAGGGGCAGGGGATGTGGCTCAGTAGCACAGGCTTGCCCAGCATGGAGAGTGGCTGACACAGGACACATCCACTTGTAAATGGAAACAGCCCACTTAGAGAGAGACACAAGGCTTGGCCAAAGGCTGCATGGTTACAAAACGGTCCTGATGCTACAATGCCAGAGCCTGGGCATTTCCCACAGGGCCGACGTCTTCGCAGATCGCCTGGGGACCCCAGACAGAGCTGCAGAAGTGCTCCTGTCACAGGGCGCAGCAGCTGCCCAGGGACCTTCACTAGTTGTAAAACAACACAGCCCGAGACCGACTGGGGCAGAGGCGGCCGAGGCCTGCTCAGAAGGCCTGGTCTTAGGCCACCTCTCTTCTGCTCCCCTCCTAATCCTGGGAGGCCAAGGAGAGCCAACTAAGGGCATAGGCTGGACCCAGCCAACGTGACTGCAAAGCTTGGCTCTCACTTCACTTGCTCAGTGGTCTGGAAAGCCTCCTTTCTCTCTCCAGGCTCCGTTTCCTCATCTGCTAAACAAAGACTGTGGCGGAGCTCTGAGAGCGGCAGGAGGGAAATCACTGTGGGGCAGGTGGCAGGCACTGCGGACAATCACCTGGCTAAGGCCAATGCAGCACCTGTCAGGGCCTCCAGAGCCAGGGCCTCCAGAGCCAGGGCCTCCAGAGCCAGGGCCTCCAGAGCCAGGGCCTCCAGAGCCAGGGCCTCCAGAGCCAGGGCCACGGCTGCAGAAACACCTGGGCCAGGCTTACAGTCCTGGCCCGTGTGGGCTTCACTGCATGGGAGAGAACAAAGGGCATCCATCATAAGGAGGATGCAGGGTGAGAAGGGCAGAGGTGGGAACCCTCGGGGTTCATTCTCTCTCCGTTACATATTATACCCACCTTCCCATACTCTCCTCTATGTGATTCCAAACTGTCTAAATAACAGACAACGAGGAAAGATGTGTGTGCACAGAGGGGCAGCAGAGACAAAGGCCCAAAGCAGGGAGAGGGTCTGGTGTGCACCCAAGGCCCCAGTGCCCAAAGCTGCACAGGGCAAAGTATGGCCAGCATAGCACATGTCGGCAGCACTCCGGTTTCCAGCGGTGGAGGACAAGGGTGGACAGGGCTTTCAGACCATCCCTCTAGCACAGGAGGAGGAGGACTGAGAGGACAGCTATAGAGCAGCTTTGCTCCCGCAGAGCCTCAGGAAGCTGAGGCAGGAACACTGGCATGAGTTTGAGGCCAGCCTGGGCCTGAAAAATACACAACAGAACCAGCAAGATGTCGCTGTGGTAAAGGCACCTACCATGACCCTGACAACCTGAGTTCAATCCCCGCACCCATATAGAAGAAGAGACCCAATTCCCACAAGTGGTCCTCTGTCCTTCACATGTACACAGGGGCATATGCACACGCCCCATACTCATGCACACAAAGTGAGTATTTCTAAATATAATTAATAACAACTAGAGAAGCTGGACATGGGTGTGCATGCATGTAATCCTACCACTTGGGAGGCAGATGCAGGAGGTTCAGGAGTTCAAAATCATCCTCAGGCACATGCCAGGCTGTTACAAAAGACCCTCTCTCTCAAGAGACTTGCTCTAATCCATTAAGAAAGGCAAAAGCGGGTAATAAGTATGGAAAATTACGCAACCTCTCCCACAGCAAAGAGCCGTGGGGCAGTGGATGGAGTGACATAGGTTAAGATTACCAAAACCCGGCATCAGCCAAGACACGAGACACACTCTTCTGCTGCCAACAGGGACCTAAGTGAACTAGCAAGTTCCTTCAAAAAGTCCTGCCAGGACCCGAGACTATGACCTCACAGGTGCCATGGAATCTGTGGGGCTTGATGACAGCCGCTAACACCTCAAGGACAGCAGGGGCCACCAAGACGCCTACCTACCGGAGAACAGGACACACCAGAGCCGGCCCCCCGCCCCCCCAGATGGAGGGCTCTGCAGTCAGTAATTACCACCCCAGCACGCTAGAGTGGGAAGGTGGAAGAGTTACCCTCTGCCACCACCAAGCAAAAACTGCAAGCTGCTGGCAGGGACAGGCTGGGAAGGTGGGCAATGACACCCCTGGTCAGAATGTCCGTGAAATAGATCTGGGACTTCAGCAAGGGTCGCCTTGGACAGGGACCCTTCTGCAGTTTCCTCTCCCTCTCCCT